AAAGAGAGTCAGAGAAATAATGGAATTTAAAATTACAGTTATGGACACACAAATTCATTCTACACATAGCTGAAGGGGCAAAGGAGCAACCATGAAATAAATGGCGTTGAGTAGCCGCCCCTTGCATTGCCCCCTCGCAGATACTATGCATATGTATTATCATCTTGAATACTCCCTTTAGGTAGAGATTATTTGTCTTTACTTTCCCCTTTTGTTCCACAGTATTATAATGAGTGCTCTTATATTTTATTCACCTTTTATTGGGACAAATGGCAATCCACATGGGAAAAATTTATCTTAAATAATAACCTCATATTTTAATAGTAACCCTGTATCAATTTAAGACATAATCACAAAAATTTGGGATGTATTAAAATATAATTTGTCAAATCTAAATCTGAGCTCCATAAGTTCAGAAGATATGATTTTTATGGTCTCACAGAGCAGGGAAGTTCTTTCATCACACACAAAAATGCAACCCCTGAAAGAAGAATATCAATACACTTTTGCATAGCAAAATCAGCACATCCAATATTTAAGTGCATCAACATTTTAAAAGGTTTATGACAAAGGGCTCCACAAGGAAAATGAAGACAAGCCATAATTTCCTACAAATCCATATCCTACGGCCATCAAGCCCAACCGTGGCTTGTCGAGACCTTATTTAGGGTTCTGAGGCTGTCAATCCTCACTGGAGCGGCTAGTCTCATCGTTCTCCCTCCGAGGGGCTGTTGGCTTCAAACTGATGACCTTGCGTTAGGAGTCCAATGCTTACCTGACAGTGCCCCGCCACCCCCACCCCCACCCCGGGCAAATCAATAAGAGATCTACACATCAGTAAGGAAGACAAAGAAACCATCTCACCCTACAGAAAAAAGGAGAAGCTCTCACTAGACAACTTAAAAGAAAAGGCAAATGACCAATAAGCATATCAAATGATACCTGATCTCATGAGCACATAGGAGTTCACTCAACATTTCACACACACAAGGTTGTGGAACGTGAAGACGGCTATAAATACCCAGGGTTGTGGAAGGTTCCAGACGCTGGGCAACTTCCCCTCTACTGGTGGGAGTATACACTGGTGAGCAGCAAAAGCCCTAAAGATTATTTTCTTATTTTACATCATTGTGCCACTCCCCTGTTCAACTGGAAGCAGGGCAGTAGGGATAAAGAAAATGTGGCCTCAGTTTCCTCAGCTGAGGAGGAAATCAAGGGGGCTGGGGTTGGGTGAGGTAGATTTGATGAGTTTAAAATTTCCTCTTGGTTGTAAAGTTCTGATTCTAAAATATAATCTTTAGTGCAGCCTGCCTGCTTCTTCAGAACTGCTCTCTGTACAGGGTTCTGATGGAGCCCCTGTGATCTGGACACACATTGGCATTGTCACTACTGCCCTGCTTTGGAAGGCATTTGCTAGAGGCCTCCAGCCTCCGGTGCATACCCCGCTGTCCTCTTGGGGAGAAAGTCAGAAAGCCACTTAAGAATCAGGAGGCTGTCCTGGAGTTGGGTGAACTGACTCCTAGTCCCTGTGGTGGGCACTGGTTCCCAAGGAGGTACTAGGCCAGCAGTCGGCACAAAACACAAAGCAGGAAATCGTCCCTACCTCTTCTCCACTGTACTGCTTCAGACAATTGAGGAAATGGCAAGTATTGGAGAGCCAGAAGGACAGCATTTCAAAGTCTTCTAAATGTTCCTTAAAAACAAACAAACAAAGAAACACACTCACAAACAGATAACATTGGACTTGGTGAGCTGACGATGGTTCCTCTAGCCAACTGGTGGCTTTTGATGAAGATAAAATTTTCTTTTATTCACTAAAGCTTCTATTACATTCATACTACAAGGA